ATAATAATAATAATAATGTTTAATAAAAGCTGGATTATTTTTGGAATTTTTTTAATTAGAACTGTAATACTATTTTTAAGGCAAGTAACTTACAAGGACGAAAAGTATTCATCAGAAGCTAATAACAGTTCATATGATTCATGTTCTATTTTTGTTGAAAATCCATTGTACATAAATTGATTTATTTTCTTTGTAGCCTTTGAAACTTAATCACATTTAATTCTTGAACTTTTCAAAGGTTGAATATGGTTAAGTGTCAAGGGTCAAGTAGAGCATTATGGCTTGAAATTCGTCTTTTCATTTTTTTTTTTTTTGATAGCAAATCTGAGTCTGATCTTTTTTGAACAGTATTTTAATGATTCCTTTGCCACTTTTATTCCCATACCTATTTACTAATAGTTCGAGAAGTTTTACATGTATTACCGGGAACTTTTGAATTAAATTTTTGATAGATTTCTTATTGATAAATGCAAAATTATCTTATTAATTTAAAAACAAAATTATTAACATTTAAAGTGGGTGATTTTTTACCTTTTTCCTTCAGTAATTATACAAAAGTTTATATTCTTTGTTTGAAATGCAAAAAAAAAAACAGAATGTATTCCAATTGAAAACTATTGAAAGATATCTTTGTTATTATTTTCGCATAATAACAGGATTAGTCATGGCCAGCAATGATCAATGGTCAGTATTTATTATATCTTAATAGATGAAAGCAATTTTAATGTACTGTTTATTGATACATTCCATGCTAATCAAGGATAGAATTGCGAATTTTTTCTGAACAATTCTCGAAAAAGAACATTGTATTCAGCGGTTGATCTTATCCATTGATCTCCATTTTCATCAATAGAAGTATCTATTGCTTCCGCCAATACGTCAATCAATTCATCCCAACTATATAATTCCATTTTCAAACATTTATAAAATAAATCGGACCAAAGTTCATACATGGACCAATTCCTGTAAAGGATTAAATTGATGATACAAATTTCATACTTACAAGTGTTGCAAATGATCGCAACAGATACCGCAGGTAGGATAAATTGCTGATGTGAACATGCTTCAGAATGCTGTATGTTAGCAATTTAATCTTCCTCTGTTTGAATCTAGGCGACCAAAAATTATTCAGTAATATATACAAATCATTTCATAATTATGAAAAATTTTTTAAAACTAATAAAGTTTAATTGTAGGTGTTAGAAATTTTTTTCTTATTTTGAATCAGAAAGAAGGAATTATTTATTTATTTTTTTTAAATATGAGAGCACAAATATCTCATCTATCTGAAATCATTTTGTGCGTTGCATAATTCAGTAAATAAATTGCAAAAACTTGAATAGTTATAATTTTGTAAAATTGAAGAATCGAAAACCTTTTCAAATTTAAAAGAGGAATATAGCTTCCATTTTTGCATCTTAAATAGCGCAATGTTTGGTTGCAAATTAGCTCACTTACAATATTCGCAAAACCCATTCTATCAATTTCATAATTCCAAGGTTCACATGTCTGAATTAAAAAAAAAAACATCAAGACTTATCTTTGAATTTAATCATACAATCTTTACTTTCAATATTATTATTACAATCAGTAAATTATGATTTTTACAATTCCATAATTTTTAACAGCCATCGGTGATTTTACATTCCACATCTTTTTGTCTTCTATTTCACCTCAATTTCTACTTATATCTTTTTAGGCATTAAAATTATTATTACTAAAAGAAGTACGATTCATTCATATCAATTTTCCACGAATACTTTTTATTATTAGAGTAGCTAATAATTGAGATATCATTGAATAAATATTAATCTTATTGGAATAGTTAATAGTAATGATAACAGTTAAATGAATTTTAAAAAGAGAATATTTGCTCAAAAAGTAACCTTTGACAATGCTATCTAGTGTAAAAATCCAAAATATTAAATGTTGAATGGTGTTAAATTTACAATATTAAATAATAAAAAATGCAAAATTCAAAATGTCAAATGTTAAATGATTAGTGATAATATTTTAGAAAAACAATATGATGAAAAAGAAAGTAATAAATATTGAAATAAGAGAAAATTAGTGAAAGAAATAAAGTAACTAAAAGTAAAATCAGTAGCTAATTAATTAAGTAAATAAAAATAGGCCATGTAATATTCCATCTAATCGAAAATTATTGCCACACATCTTACATAATAGCCATCGGTGACAACTTTTTTCTCGTTGATATACTGTCCACCATACTTTGTTCCGTCAGTATTTCGAATTGCAAAATCCCAATTTGCTACTTTTACAAGTAATGTTGCACCACTACGTAATGTGTCAAGTTGTGGTTTGTATATAATCCTACAATTCTTTTTTTTTTTTTGCAAAAACAATAGCTCCACGATAATTTCGATAAAAGGAAATCCGCATAGAAATTTAAAAGAAAAAAATTTCAATTTCCTGCTAAATAACCAAAGAAATAATTAAGCAATAATGCAATCAATAATTAAAAAATGTCTAAAATGCAATTTAATTAAACATATAACTTGATCGCATTTGACGTTTAATAACGAATATTTTAAAATATTTAGAGTTTATGCTGGATGAATATACGTAATTTTCTGAGCATTTGATTATAACTCTTTAAATTAGTCCGAATAAAATTATAATATTTTTTTTTTTCAAAAACATTTAATTAAAAAAAAAAACCTTTTAGCAACAAGTATATTATCACTTTTAAAACATCCATGAATAATATGCATTTGATGTATGGAACGTAGTATTTTCATCAAATCGAGAATTATTATTCCAACTACTAATTCGCTTAATTTTATACTACCAGCATTTTGAATTTTTATTAATTCCTGAAATTGATACAATATCGGAAAACAAAATCTATTGCTTCACTGTATACTTACGTGAAAGAAAGTATGAAAATGACCTTTGATAATAAATAATATTTTAGAATATTAAATCTTATTAATTATTCCAAAATAAAAATAGATGGACACTAAAAGGTTACCATCCAAAAATTCCAAAAAAAAGATAAGTTAATGAAGGTAATTACTGAAATATATTTATTCACAGCAAATGTTATTTGCTATTTTATCCTTTTCTTTTTTTTAATTAATAAAAATAGTTGCGCATTTTGCG